AATCACAATTCCTGATTTCAAAATATGTTACACAGCTATGGTAATTAAAACATATGGTACTGGCAAAAAAATCAGACACATAAGCCAATGGAATAGAGATCCTGAAAATAAACTCACACACATGTGAACAACTAATATTTGACAAGGGTGCAAAGAATAGAATATGCAATGGAGAAAAAGGACAGTCTCTTCAAAAAAAAAAAAATGTTACTGGGAAAACTGGATATTCACATGCAAAAGCTGAAACTGGATCCTTACCTTATACATATGTAAAAATCATCTCAAAATGGATTAAAAACCTAAAACCTGAAATCTTTTAGAAGAAAACATAAGAGTAAAATGCCTTGACCTGGGTCTTGGCAATAGTTTCTTGGACAAAAAAGCAACAAAAGCAAAAATAAATAAGTGGTACTACATCAAACTAAAAAGCCTCTATACATCAAGGAAACCATCAACAAAGTGAAAGGGTAACCTACAGAATGGGAGAAAACATTTGCAAACAATATGTTCAATAAAGGATTAATGTCCAAAATATATAAAGAAACACAAGTCAATAGCAGAAATAAAAATTTTAAAAATGGGCAAAGCAGCCAGGTGCAATGGCCCATGACTATAATCCCAGCATTTGAGGAGGTCAAGGCAGGAGAACCACTTGAAGCCAGGAGTTCAAGACCAGTCTGAACAACATAACCAGACACCCTCATCTCTACAAAAAAAAAAAAAAAAATTGTAATTCACTGTACACCGTGGCATGTGCCGATAGTCTTAGCTATTCAAGAGGCTGAGCCAGGAGGATAGCTTGAGCCCTAGAGTATGAGGTGGCAGCGAGCTATGATCATGCCACTGTACTGTAATCCAAATGATAAAGCCAGACCCTGGCTCTAAAAAAAAAAAATTGAATATGTTTATGTGTGTGTGCACGTGTGTGCATGTGTGTGTATGTGTTCATGCATGTGTGTGGCTATATAAATGGCTAAGGATCTGAACAGACATTTCTCCAAAGAAAACATACAAATGGCCAAATGGCCAACAAGTACATGAAAATGTGCTCATCACCAGTCATCGGGAAATGTACATCAAAACTGTGATGAGATAGCACCCCACTTCTGTTATCATGGCTTGTATCAAAAAGACAAGAGATAACAAGTGTTGCCAAGGATATGGATTAAAGGCGATCCTTGTACATAGTTGGTGGGGACGTCATTGATACAGTCATTACGGAAAATAATGTTAGTGTCTCAAAAATTAAAAATAGAACTATAATATGATCCAACAATCCTATTTCTTGTATACATCCAATGGAAATAAAATCAGTATGTCAAAGAGACATCTGCATTCCCATGTTCATTGCAGCATTATTCACAATGGTCAAGACATGGAAATGGATAAACGGAAAAAGACATTTGGTGAATCCATATACATTCCCTGTCTCGTGGAATATTATTCAGCCATAGAAAGAAGGAATTCCTGCCGTTTGTGACAACATGGATAAACCTTGATGGCATTATGCTAAATAAAATAAGTCAAAGAGAGAAAGACAAATACTGAATAATCTCACTTATTTGAGGAATCTAAATAGTCAAACTCATAGAAACAGAAAGTACAATGGTGGTACTAGGGGCTGGGGATTCAAAGAAATGGGATCAATGATGGTCAAAGGATACAAAATTTCAGTTACAAAATGAATAAGTTCTAGGGACCTAATGTACAGCATGGTGACTACAATTAACCACCCTGTATGATATACTTGAAATTTTCTCACCACCAGAAAAAAAAAAAAAGAAACCATTACTCATTACTGAAGTGACAGATATGTAAAACGACTTGACTGTGGTCACCTTTTCCCAACATATACTAAATCAAGTCATCAAACAGTGCACCTTAAACTTACACAGTTTTATTTTTCAAGTAAACCTCAATAGAGCTAGAAAAAATAAAAAATAAATCCCAAGACACTAATACATGTTATTTACACAAAGAGTTTCATAGTTTTTATATCATTTAAATTAATATTTTGTTAATTCATCTGTATTGTTTATTTCCTCACTACCTGCCTGTTCCCTATCGCCGCTAAATACAAGCTGATTTAGGATGGGGATTTTATCTGTCTTTTTGTTATTCTACCTTCAGCCTATACTATCACAGTAGCGGGTAATTACTGCTGTGGTATTCAATAGACAACTAACAACTGTTACTTGCATGAGTGCCCAAGAAGAGGAGCAAAATCTGACATGTCATCATCTTCATTTCAATCCCAGCAACAAAGCCAGGAGCATTAACGATCCTTCCCCTTCCTCTCCCACGGCCTCACCTTTTTAGAAGGTCTTCCAGGTTTGGGGAAGAGATGCTGACAATCTGATAGTCAAGGGAGTATTCGTGGTCCTCAGAACACTCCCCTGACGCACTCACTTCTGCACCAACATTCACACTCACACTAGCCATAGCCTTCTGCTTCCAGTTGTTAAAGGCCTCCAGGTAGAGTGGTCCCTCCACAGTTGTTTCTGGGGATATAAAAGGCGACCATAGGTTTAGTCAAGAAATCATTCTGGAATAGCTGGTGTGGGAAAGGGAATACCCAAGGCCTACTTTGCCCCAATCCTCCCACTCATGTATAGCTCTCAGGTGAGAAGCTAACTAGTCAACTAATGTTTGGATTGTAAATTACAACATAGGGCAGAGGCTTGAATCCACCAGTTACTGGATATCAAGGTTGGAGTTTTCACCAGGAGAAATGGTGGTGTCCCTTGCATGGTGTCCAGGAAACCCCATGGAGCACCTTTCCAGGCCCAATGTCTCCCCTGCAGCAGCCACAGCCCCCAGCCCCTGGAGGCAGCACATGGGAGCAGAAAATGTTTGTTGATTCGACCAGTTCCCGTGCCTGTAACTTTGAACAGATTGTTTTATCAACTTCCATTTACTCTCATGTAAAATGAGGACCACAGGTTTATCTCAGGAGCATGATGTAAGTGTTCAGTGACCTGAGGAATGCCTGGATCTAGATAATCAGTAGATTCTCAATTGATCTCTCTTGCTTGTCTCTTGCCTACAGACAAGGCTGAGCCTGCTATCTGTCTTCCAGGTGCCTCAGGATTCCTCAAAGTCTGGGCCTTCTCTAGCTGAGCACCCTTGTTTTTCACCCCTTGCCTCCTCTGTCCCTGGCTGACCATACCTGGGACTGAAAGACTTGGCTGCAGGATGTCCAGGAGAGTGAAGCCAAGTGGAACATACTCAGATCGTCGCTTCAGTAAAGCAGAGCTCTTCTTTCGTAGTATACTAAATAGATGGAATTTGTTGGCACTTGACAAGTATTTGACAGGCCTCGTTTCTTTACATCCAACCTCTTTGGCCACAGTCTCACTAACATGTCCAAACGAGGAGGGCATGTTGCTAGGAGCAAATGGGAGGCAAGCACCAAGTTCAGTTCAGAGGGGAATTTATATTTGCTGTTCAGTAGAATTTCCACAAATTTGTTAGTTTAATGAAATTCCTCCTCTTGTTATATCTAGTTTGATACCATTGTGTTTATAAAAGATCCTTGACATTGGGTGGCGCCTGTGGCTCAAAGGAGTAGGGCACTGGCCTCATATGCCAGAGGTGGTGGGTCCAAACCCACCCCCAGCCAAAAACTGCTAAAAAAAAAGATCTCTGATATAAAATGATATGGCCACTTTGGAAAACAGTGTAGGGATCTCTTACAAAACTCAGCATACTCTTACTGTACAATCCAGTGATCATGCTGGGTTTACCCAACAGCGTTGAATACTTATGTCCACACAAAAACCTGAACAAGGATGTTTATAGATCCTTTATTCATAACTGGCAAAACTTGGAAGCAACCGACATGGCCTACGGCTGGTGAATGGATACATGATGGTATCTCCAGATAAGGGAACACTATTTAGTGCTAAAAAGAAATTAGCTATGAATAAAGGTGAAGCTAACTGAAACATACACTGCTAAGTGAAAGAGCCAGTTTGAAAAGGCTATCTACTGTGTGATTCCAACAGTATGAAATTCTGGAAAAAGTAAAATACAAATGGTTTCCAGAGGTCAGGAGGGAAGGAAGGATGGAGAATTTTAGGGCAGTGAAACTACTTTGTGTGGTACTATAATGGCGGGCACGTCATTATGTATCTGCCCAAACCCACAGAATGTACAACACCATAGGTGGATCCCGATGTACAGACCTTGTGCAATAACTTATCAATATAAGTTCATTGATTATCACAAATGGACCACTGTGGTCCAGGGTGTTGCTAGAGAGGGAAACTGTGAACGTGTGGGGCAGAGGTATGAGGCGACTGTACTTTCTGCTCAGTTTTCATTTGAACATAAAACTGCTCTAAAAAATAAAGACTGTTCTTTCTTAAAGTTTGGTCAGTCAGACACTGGTGAGGGGCTGAGCTTCAAGCTTTTATTTTTAGTTCACAATTTCTCCCTTTTGGCCAAGATCTGCCATAGGCAGCATCAAAAGCCAGACTTTTATTTTGTCCCACACGTTGCTAGGGTGGTATGGCTACCTGTCCCAGGTCCATCCAGGTCCTCAGTGGGAACTCTGTGGGAAGAGGACAGAATAGCCCCCAGGGCTTACAGACAATTAAATGTTTTAGGATAGAGGCAACTGGAGGTTGACAGCCCCTCATCAACTCTTTAAGCCCTTCTAGCAATATATGAGTGAAAAACCAAATGTCAAGGGCAAGGCTACAAAATGAATTTTTATGTAAATATTGAGCTACTGTCCTGTTGGGTTTGGTTGCAGGCTTGTAGCAAACATAAACATTGAATAAACCTCTTTACAAAAAAAAAGTTTAGTTGACAAAAGTGTTGAAATTACTATCATAGATTTTTCAGAGTTCACCCCATTCTTTAGCTTAACTAAGGGGTTTGATAAACACTAGGAAGTAGTCTGGCAGACGAACAGCAGAAATAAAATTAAAGAGATTTCTTCTTACATGCTTCCTTTCTAATAAACTTGGGAATAGCTACTAAGAAGTTCCCGTTTTTCTAATGTTCTGCTAACATCTAGGATAATAAAACTTTCATAATTCTAATAAAATAATAGCAAATTCAATTCATGATTATGTTGCCATTGTTCCAGGCAAAGCAAAAATCATTCGCGACCACTAAAATCACTACTTCTATAGCTCACACTTTTATATGTTAATTATAAAACTATATGTTTATTGTAGAAAATATAAGGAAATAAGGTGATAAAGTTCAGCACCTATTTATGATTATTGAGATTTAGCAAACTAGAAATTCAGGAAATTTTTTCTCAGTTTAATAATAGTATCTATCAAAAATCAAAGTGATGGTACAACCTTTGAGATAGTAATTTAAACATGGGAATGATACAATGATGCTCATTCCCACCACTGCTATTTACAATTTTCTAAAGTGTCTAGTCATCATGGTGATAGGACAAGAAAAATGGAAGGTAAAAAATTTGGAAGGAAAGACATCTAAACTTCTTATACAGAGATGATAAATTATTTACAAGATAAGGTTTTTTGTTTGAAACGGAGGGAATAAAAGGCAAATTATTAGATAGAATGCAATAATAGTAATAGATATAAGAACAGTATCAAAAATCAATTGATGTCAGAAATGGAACAGGAAACATTGCAACTGATACCACAGAAATAAAAGGGGTCCATTGGATACTTTTTTCCCCATTCTTGAGATACTTTACTAAAAAGAACGTTTCAGTTCCAGCCAGGTAAACATAAAAATGTGAAGTCTCCATCCTTTTTATGGCTGCATAGTATTCCATGGCATACATACACTACAATTTGTTAATCCATTCGTAGGTTGATGGGCATTTGGGCTGCTTCTACCACTTGGCAATTATGAATTGGGCTTCAGTAAACATTATGGTGCAAATTGTGAAACCAATATATAATCACCTACACATTCATATGACAGATAAAACGCAACTGTAGTCCAGAAAGAAGAAGAGAAGAGGAGGGAGATGGGATAGGAAGAGGAAAGCAGGAGCAGGGAGGGTATTTGGTGGGACCTCACCTATTTTGCACAATGTAATGGTACATTTCAAATCTCTTAAGAGTAGAGTATAGGCTTGATGCCCCTAACTCAGTGGTTAGAGCGCCAGCCACATGCACCGGGGGCTGGTGGATTCGAACCCAGCCTAGGCCTGCTAAACAATGACAACGACAACAAAAAAATAGTCCCAGCTACTTGGGAGTCTGAGGCAAGAGAATTGCTTAAGCTCAAGAGCTTGAGGTTGCTGTGAGCTATGACACTACACACTCTACTGAGGGCAACATAGTGAGACTCTGTCTCAAAACAACAACAATGACAAAATAGCCAGATGTTATGGCAGGCACCTATAGTTCCAGCTACTTGGGAGACTAAGGCAAGAGAATTGCTTAAGCCCAAGAGTTTAAGGTTGCTGTGAGCTGTGATGCCACAACACTCCAGTGAGGGTGACATAGTGAGAGACTCTGTCTCAAAAAAACTTTAAAAAGTAGAGTATAAATGTCTGACCACAACAAATAAGCAAGTGAGATGATGGTTATGTTACATCAGTTTGATGTAACATTCCACATTGTATATCAAACTTACAAGAGGTCAAATTTTTCAGTACACTATACCCAATAAATGTACACAGTTATGATTTAATAAAAAAAAAAGAAAGGGGGTCATAAGAAACATTATTATGAACACTTACACATCAACAAACTGGATAACCTACAAGAAATGGATAAATCCCTAGAAACATATGACCTACTAAGACTAAATTATGAAAAAAAGAGAAAGTCTGAACAGACCTATAACGAGTATGGAGATTGCCTCAGTAATCAAGAACATGCCATGGCTCGGCGCCTGTGGCTCAAGCCGCTAAGGCGCCAGCCACATACACCTAAGGTGGCGGGTTCGAATCCCCAGCCCGGGCCCGCCAAACAACAATGATGGCTGCAACCAAAAAATGGCCAGG